TCCTCCTCCTCCTCCTCCTCCTCCTCCTCCTCCTCCTTCTCTACGCGCTTCTCTTCCTCCCCTCCGTCCTCCCTCCTTCCTCCTCCTTCTCCTTTTTCCCCAAACAGCTTGCTGAACGGGGTGCTGTTGTGATAGAAGCTAACTCCGGCCGAGGGAGGTCGGAGCAGAGACATCCTCATAGAAATTGGATGGTCCGGGCCGTTTCGCTTGAGACATCCACACAACTCTCGTTTCTGAGTTGGCCGGGATTGGCCGTTTCGCCTGAGACATCCTCAAGCAGTTGCGCTCGGGGACGCCGCGCGAGAGGTGGTCCGGGCTGTTTCGCTTGAAACATCCTCGAAACTTTGAGCTCCGAGGTGCCGTGCGAGAGGTGGTCCGGGCCGTTTCGCCTGAGACATCCTCGAAATTCTGAGCTCTGAGATGCCTTGCGCGACGTGGTCCGGCCCGTTTCGCCTGAGACACCCTCAGAACTCTGACCTCGGAGATGCCGCGCGAGAGGTGGTCCGGACCGTTTCGCCTGAGACATCCTCGAACTTCTGAGCTCTGAGATGCCCTGCGCGAGGTGGTCCGGCCCATCTCGCCTGAGACATCCTCGCAATTCTGAGCTCTGAGATGCCGTGCGCAAGGTGGTCCGGCCTGTTTCGCACAAAACATACTCGCAAGTCTGAGCTCCCAGATGCCGCGCAAGAGGTGGTCCAGCCTGGGGGCCCAGAAGACCACATGTTACATATCCTCCCTGGGACCCTGGGAGCCCGTCCGCCTGAGACATCCTCGCAACTCTGGGCTCCGAGATGCCCTGCGCGAGGTGGTCTGGCCCATCTCGCCTGAGACATCCTCGCAACTCTGAATTCTGAGATGCCGTGCGCAAGGTGGTCCGGCTTGTTTCGCACAAGACATTCTCGCAACTCTGAGCTCCCAGATGCCGCGCAAGAGGTGGTCCAGCCTGGGGGCTCAGAAGATCACATGTTACATATCCTCCCTGGGACCCTGGGAGCCCCAGGAGGCCGCAGGACGCCCAGGACAGGCCCCAGGGGTCCGCAGGAGATTCCCAGGAGGCTCCCAGGAGGCCCCAGGAGGCCCCCTATCAGAACGTGTCAAGTTAATACACATCCGGTGTCGATTCGTTGATTTTTCCTGCTCTTGTGCCCCCCCTCCCATTTTGAGAGGCCCAAGCGGCCACATGTTAGATATCCCCCCCTGGGAGCCCCAAGAGGCTTCAGGAAGCCCCAGGTGGGGTCCAGGAGGCCACAGGAGCCCCAGGAGGAAGCCCAGGAGGCCCAAGGGGCCCCAGGAGCCCACGCAACTCGCGACGATGAGATCGCAGCGACGAGGTGGTCCGGACCGTTTCGAACTGAGACTTCCTCGCAGCACCTGTTCGCCCGAGAACAAGGCCGTCTCGCCTGAGAAATCCTTGCAACTCTGAGATCTGAGATGCCGTGCGCAAGGTGGTCCGGCCTGTTTCGCACAAGATATTCTCGCAACTCTGAGCTCTCAGATGCTGCGCACGAGGTGGTCCAGCCTGGGGGCCCAGAAGGCCACATGTTACATATCCTCCATGGGACCCTGCGAGCCTCAGGAGGCCCCAGAGAGGTCCAGGAGGCCGCAGGACGCCCAGGACAGGCCCCAGGGGCCCCCAGGAGATTCCCAGGAGGCTCCCAGGAGGCCCCAGGAGGCCCTCTATCAGAACGTGTCAAGTTAATACACATCCGGTGTCGATTCGTTGATTTTTCCTGCTCTTGTGCCCCCCCCTCCATTTGGAGAGGCCCAAATGGCCACAGGTTAGATATCCCGGCTGGGAGCCCCAAGAGGCTTCAGGAAGCCCCAGGTGGGGTCCAGGAGGCCACAGGAGGCCCAGGAGGAAGCCCAGGAGGTCACCAGGAGGCCCAAGCGTTTCGCCCGAGACATCGTCGACTCTGGGGTCCGAGACGCCGCGCGCTAAGTGACCCAGCCCGTTCGCATGAGACATCCTCGCAAACTTGGGCCTTTCCGAGTTCAGTTCTTTTCGTATTCCCAGATTGGCCCTGAGACGAGGCCCGAGGTGGTTCGGCCCATCTCGCCTGAGACATCCTCGTAACTCAGAGCTTTGAGATGCCGTGCGCAAGGTGGCCCGGCCCGTTTCGCACAAGACATTCTCGCAACTCTGAGCTCTCGGATGCTGCGCAAGAGGTGGTCCAGCCTGGAGCCCAGAAGACCACATGTTACATATCCCCCCTGGGACCCTGGGAGCCCCAGGAAGCCCCAGAGAGCTTCAGGAGGCCGCAGGACGCCCAGGACAGGCCCCAAGGGGTCCGCAGGAGATTCCCAGGAGGCTCCCAGGAGGCCCCAGGAGGCCCCCTATCAGAACGTGTCAAGTTAATACACATCCGGTGTCGATTCGTTGATTTTTCCTGCTCTTGTGGCCCCCCCTTTGTATTTTGAGGGGCCCAAGCGGCCACAGGTTAGATATCCCCCCTGGGAGCCCCAAAACGCTTCAGGAAACCCCAGGTGGAGTTCAGGAGGCCACAGGAGGCCCAGGAGGAGGCACCAGGAGGTCCCCAGGAGGCACCAGGAGGCACCAGGAGGCCCCCGCAACTCGGAGCTCTGAGACGCCGCGCTCGAGGTGGTCCGGCCCGTTTCGCCTGAGACTTCCTCGCAGCACGTTTCGCCCGAGACATCGTCGCAATTCTGGGGTCCGAGATGCCGCGCGCCAGGTGGTCCAGCCCGTTACGCGAGGAGGCATGTTTTAACATGCCATGCCAGCCTGCACTGGACGGGCACGCAATCGACCTTGGAAACCGCAGTGGGTCTAAAAACCCTGTTTGGGGATACTGCACTCCGGCTATAATTGTCCCCTCTCCCTCACCCGCCAGGGGACGTCTTGGCGGTCGCGCCTGCGCGCGCGGAGAGCTCTGCCCGAGGCCTCCGGCGCGTGGCTCTCGCTCGCGCGCTTGCTCGTCCAGGCGCTCCTGCCGCGCGCCCACCGCGCCCGCCGCGCCCGCCGCCGCGCCCAACGGCGCGCGGCGGCGGGAGTGCCGGGAGTCGGGCTGGACGGAAGGGGGGGATTGGGAATCAGGCCCCCAGAGACCAGGACACAGATACAGCAGGGCGCGGAAAACCAAGGAAACGGCATCCTTTCCTGCGAAGTCACGTTTTTCAGCACCCGTGCATGTTTTGTTTGCTGCACTGCAGGATTCGGGTGCGTGTCTGGGTTAAAGGGGGGTCTTGCAGGCTCTTGGGGCCTGCAAGTTGTTCGCACTGCAGGCTCTTGGGGCGAAGTTGTTCGCGCTTCGCGCTTTGCGCTTCGCGGTCCTCGTTCCTGCTCCCCCTCCCCCTCGTCCTCCTTCTCCCCCTTGGGGGCGGCGCGAGAGCGCGAAGTCGTCCGCGCTTCGCGCTTCGCGCTTCGCGCCTCGCGCTTCGCGCCTCGCGCTTCGCGCTTCGCGGAGCGCGAAGCGCGAAGTTGGGAGCCCTAGATGCAGCTGGTTTCGGCCTCGCCGCCTGGCCCATTCCTCGATACATGGGCGCCTCCCATGGGCGCCTCCCGGCGCTGGGAGGCGCCGGGAGAATCGGCCACGTGAGCTGATTCTCACCTCCCCCCTTTTGCCATCCCCCCCTTTCGCCCGACCCGAGAGAGGGGGGCGCTGTTGCTTACGGCAGTTTCGCGTGGCGTTGGCGCGCCAGCGACGCCAGCGAAGGCGAGCTCGAATTCATGCGACGCGGGAGCACCGATGGACGAGGTGACGCCGCTGGGCCCGACCGAGTTCGACCTCGAGCGATCGGTGCCGCGATCGATTCAAGGCTCGCCGCTCCTTAGCGCCCAGTGCCCCTCGTGCCCCTCTTGCACGTCGACGTGCCCGTGGCGTCACAGCCGCTGCCCAGCCAGAGGCAAGCTGAAGGCAGCCACCTCGGAGCCCGACGCGCCCCCAGCGGCGGCACGGCGCTGCGGTGGGCCCGTTCGCCCAGTTGGCAGGTCAGCCGTTCCCTCGGCGCCTCCCCTCAAAACCGTGCCCTCGCCCTGCTTCGCCCAGGCCTGGATCGCGCAAGACCGGGGCCCAGGTTTCCTCCCTCCTCTGCCTCCTCTCCTTCCCTCCTCTCTGCCTCTCTCCTCTGCCTCCTCTGCCTCCTCTGCCTCCCTTCTCTGCCTCTGCTTCTTTTTCCACCTCGCACTCAGTCGCGACGTGCGTACTGCCTGCGTGCACCGACGAAGGAGGGAGGTGGGAATGCCGTCTGCTCCTCTCCCCTCCTGCTCCTCTTCTCTACCCTCCCCGCATTCCCTTCCCTTCGCTCCGACGAGTGCGGCTGCCCATCCAGTGCGACTTGATTCCCGAGGCATTCTGTACACTCGCCTCCGTCTGTCGGTTTCCCCGCTTCGTCCGCTGCTTCCCTGTGCTCTTCTCGGCGTCGGAGCTTTTGTCCCGCGCTGTGTGCTGAACGGGGTGTGGGCAGGAGCTGCACGAGAATGCAAGGCGGCAGAAGTTGCAACTCCACAAGCAGGCCCGCTCATCCCGCAGGATGGAGTGGAAACGAGAGTCATGATGAGCAGGCGAGGAGTGTGATTATGGGGAGCGCCAGGGGGAACCCATGAGGAAGGGGACGAGACCCGTGGTGGATCATGGGGATGCAGAGGATGAAGATGCTAGTGAGGAGGAGGCGCAGGAGGAGGAGGAGGAGGAGGACGAGGAGGACGAGGAGGGGGATGATGAGCATACTGGAATATCTTAATGAGCATATAAAACATCTTTCCGAGCACAGTATATGACCACCACCACCAAGATCGATAATAATATACGATGCGATTTGGTGGAGTTTTGCTCTGGTGAAAAGCCCGCAGTCCCCCCCCGCCGCCAACGGCAAACGGGCTGCCCCCTCTCTGAAGGACCGACGCAGAATTCATCAAAGCACGCGCGGTGGTGATGTATAACATTTGGGTTACCAAGAGGAGCGATTTTTATACACCACCACCAAGAAGTGCTGTTTCTGCTCCAGGAACTCCCCATGCTACGGCGCCTGCGAGCTGCGCCGGGCTCCTTTTCGCCGTGGCCGGCAGCGTCGTCTGGCATGACCCTGCCCCTAACCCTTTTTGGGGTAAATTGCTGTTGCGGGCGGTGGTGGTGTGTAAAAATTGGCCTCGCAATCTTGGCCGCACCCCACGACGCATGCACACCTCAAGCCATGCAGCGAAGCCCCCGACCTGACATGTCCCCGCGCCGATGCAGGCGTTCACCCGTCAACACGACGTGCCGACAAAGCAGGCCAGCCCCGCAGACCAGTCCGACAGCGTCACGCACGCCGTCCCTGGCGCATCACGCCGGGGCGACGCGGCCCTGCGGATCACTTGCTCACCCGAGCGTTACATCGGGCCCGTCCCTTTCATTACAGGAGGAATACTAAACACCAGCCAAAAGATAGTCGGGGGCCGATTTTGGGGGCATTTTTTTGTCTTGACCATTTTGGGGCATTTTTGCTGTTTTTTTTGTAACGTTTCGCCCAACATCGGCCTGTCGGGGGACAGGCCCGACTTCACCCGAGCGGCGCGAGAAGGCGCGGCCGGCTGTGCGGGCACTCGCGCGCGAGCCCCCCGCGTGGCCGCGGGCGTCGTGGGGTGCCCATCCCGTCCGCGCGGGGGGTGCCGCCCGGGCGGCCTGCGCAGAGCCGCGGCGGGGGGTCGCAGGCAGGGGTGCGAGCCCGCTGGCAGGGACGAGCCTGGCATCGCTCGGACGTGTGCGCTGTCTCCTCGGCGAGGACCATCGAGGAGCATCCTGGATCACTTCGCGAAGAAGCCACGCAGGAAACCGACAAAAACACAGGGAATGGACGTCCGAGCGATGGCGAGCGAGGGGGGCGCGGGGGAGGGTAGAGTTGTGGAGGGCGATCAACGGAGAGCAAGCATGTTGCCAACTAATTTCCAGATGTTTTTTTAAATCATGCATTAAACATGCTTTGAACATGTACAAACATGTGTCACACATGACGAGCCTTTTTTCCTACATGTTAAACACACTTTTTAATTCCAATGATAGGACTGTTCGGGTGTCCATTGTCGTGGCATCCACAAGGGTAGAGGGATGAGGAGGGAGGGAAGGAGGGGGGAGGAGGGAGAAGGGAGGAAGAGGACACGAACGTGCCGTGCCCGCGGCGTCTTTCCCGCGCCCTGACGACCGCCGGCTCAGAGGGCGACCCGGCGTGGCGCCCAAGGCCGGACGCCCGACTCTGCAGGTCGGGATCCGTGGCGCCTCCTCGACCACCGTCTCCTCGCCCGCGAGCCTAGATCCCCTGTGCACGCCAGCCTTGAAAGTATATATATATATATATATATATATATATATTGGGATATCCATATCCCGTCGTGGCGGCAACCGGATGTGTAGATTTGTTGAGTGAGCATCCGTATTTCGTCGATTGTGCAGGCACGATCGGATGCCTCCTCGACCCCGTCGGCTCTGTCTCGGCTGGCTCGCGCAGTGCACACTTGTGCGCTGCGGGGCCGCCGACGGTGACCAAGGTGAGAGCTCACTGTTCTTTGGGAGACGTCGACTCGGGTCGCACCACCCTGCTTTGCAAGCCAGGCTCCGATCGGGCTGACGAGTTGGCCAAGAGGGGAGCCGCCCTCCACCCAGACACCAGCGCGGCCCGTGGCCAGATCCGCGCTCTGAGTCACATGGTTGGCCAGGTAATTCGATGGGCGGGGGAGCAGGAGGTGCTCATGGCCGACCGCGGCACCTGATATTCGGACCCGCTGCCAGACAAGGCCCAGCGTTCAGAGATCAAAGCGACCCGCGAGGATTTGGTGGTCGACCCTGCCTTGCGGGCGTTGCCCCTGAGGCCCCGTGTCGCGACGGATGCGTTCCTCTCGGCTGAAGTGACTCCTGGACTGGCCATGCAGATGCGTCTCACCAAGCACGCCCTTTCCATTGCCCGTGTGTATGGCCCAGATGGGTTCCCCGTCGCCCGAGGCTCCAAGGTAATCTTTTGCACCAGTTGTGGTGCGTACGCATGGGGCGGGATCACGAGCCACTGCCAGGCGTGTCAGCCGTCATCTTTAACCACCGCCCTCCGACGCCAGCGAAAGCGAGCGTCAGAAGGTACTTTTCCTGGATGGCCCCCCCCCTGTAGAAGGGCTGGAAGATCGGCCCAACGCGGTCCCCTTCGCCCAACGAGCTGGCACCTGGAGGCCGCCAGTGCCTAGAAGGAGGCCGCCGAGCGGGCCCATCGAGGCACCCGCGTCTCCAAAGGTTCCCGCGGCTCCACGGGCCGAGCTCGGGTTCCGAGTCGCTGGATCGCGCTGGCGCGCCAGGCTTACACGCCTTTGCCCGCTGAGGGTGGCACCAGCTTTGCTGCTCGCTGGTATTCACAGGAACTGGTCAGCCTAGGATATGAGACATGAGATGAGGAGTAGAAGGAGGAGGAGGAGGAGGAGAAGGAACAATCATACCAACAACAACAATACTAATACGAATAACAATAATACACATAAAGTGATCACGAGTAATCATACTAGTACTAATAATACTAGTAATGATCATCGTAGTAATAATATTACTCGTAATGAGAGTAAGAAATAGACGACGACCGCTGATAACACCAACACGAATTTTAATAATACTACTAATCATATTGAGAAGAAACATGACAACACTAATCCCACTAGTATCAATTTTAATGATACTACTACTACTACTACTACTGCTACTACTACTACTACTACTACTACTACTACTACTACTACTACCACTACTACTAACAATCATACTAATACTACTAATAGTAATCGTAATATAAGTATTCATATCAATATCAATATTAATAATAATACTGTTAATAATACTTATTATTAATATTAATAATCATAGTAATACTAATAATAATAATGATAATAATAATAATACTAATACTAATAATAATACGAGTAATACTACTAATGCGAGTACGAGGATGATGATGATGCTGATGATGAAGATAATGAGGATGATGATGAGGAGGAGCAGGAGGATGAGGATGAGGAGGACGAGGAGGGGGAGCAGGAGGATGAGGATGAGAAGGAGGAGGAGGAGGAGCCGGAGGAGGAGCAGCAGGAGGAGGAGCAGGAGGAGGAGCAGGAGGAGGAGGAGGAGGAGGAGGAGGAGGAGGAGCAGGAGGAGCAGGAGGAGGAGCAGGAGGAGCAGGATGAGGAAGAGGAAGATGAGCAGGAGGATGAGGATGAGGATGAGGAGGAGGAGGAGGATGAGGAAGAGGAAGCGGAAGAGGAAGAGGAGGAGGAGGAAGAGGAGGAGGAGGAGGAGGAGGAGGAGGAGAATCTGTAATATGCTACTGAGAAGGCCACGGCGTTGGGAGGCCTGAGCCCAGGTCCCTGGCGAGCCAGATACATTGGGGTAAGCCTTCGCATATCGATGTGCGTCGAGACAGGTGGAGGTACCTCCAAAGATATTCGAGGTAAGAAACACGGAGACCATGACCAAGGTGTCGCGGGATTCTGTCGATGCCGATCTCGGTCATGGTCCAGGTCAGCCGTCGCCGGTTCACAAGAATCATCCACGAATTGACGCTGACCAAGATCGACGGTGACCAAGATCGGCACGACGTTTCCACGTTCAGTCTTGGTCATGGTCACCGTTTTCTTCTTCCCCAGACACGCATACAAATCTTGAGAAATCGCGGAGGCTCCACCGCGAGCTTGATGACAGCAGATGTCGTTGAGCTGCCACGGTTAGCAGGTGGCCGATCCAGCCATCTCTCCCAGCCGCCTCCTCGACGCAGAGGCCGCCGACCTCATGTTGGAATACAACGCGAGGAAGGCGCAGGACATCCTGCGAGAGTCTAGGAGGGGGGTTGGAGAGGGGATTGGAGGTAGGGAGGGAGGGAGGCATGCATGCAGGCAGGGAGGCACAAAGGAAGAAGGAGGGATGAGGAAGAGGAGAGATGGAGGGAGAATGAGGATGATGAGGAGGAAATGGTCAAGAAGAGGATGGTGAGGAGTAGGAGTAATAGTAGGAGTCACATTACGCAAATCGAGCGAGTCAGAGGGCCCAGCCTACTCCCACTCTTCCTCCCACAACACAGAAGGCGTTCCCACCTCGCATCGCAAACGGAATGCGTTCGCGCGCGGCCCCGCTTCATTTTGTTCGGCGGAGAGAAACATGCGCGGCAGCGCAGGGGCGGGACAGGCGACATTTCCGATGGGCGAGGCGGAGACGGAGCATTCGCCGCGCCCACACCGCACTGCCATTCTCACTCATACGCTGCGCGACGCGGAGGCGAAGTCAACATCTCCCCCGCTGTCGCGCGGCCCCGCTGCCGCTGGCGCTCTGGGTACTACGACTCGGCGAACGAACCGTGCGCCGCGCCCGCGCAGAAACGCCATTTCCGAACGAAGCAGCGCACGGAACTTGGGCGAGGACGACAAGTCGCCTGCTCGCGCGGCCCCAGAAACAGCGAGTGACGACTATGCGCTGCGTTGAGGCGAGAATGCCACTTTCGGGCGAGATCTGCGCGGCGCCGAAACGAGAGCGGCACTTTCGCCCTGTCGGGCGTCGACCGAATTTCTTGCGATAGAAATGTGCTCCCCGCCGAAGCAGGAAACCAATTCTATATATACATATATATGTGTATATATATATATATATATGTATATGTGTGTGTATGTGTGTGAGCGCGGCGCCACGCTCCATTCCAGACAGAGGTGCAGAACCGCATCAAGGCCGCATGGGCTGCTTTCACAAAACACAAGCAGGAGCTCACAAACTCGCACTGCCCATTACAGCACCGGCTTCGTCTCTTCAACGGCGTCGTGACACCGACATCCTGTACGCTTCTGCGACTTGGACAGTCACGACGGCGATCCGCCAGCAGCTGCAGAAAACTCAGAAACGCATGCTCCGTATGATCGTGAATACCCCGAGAAAGAAGACAACGGGAACACGCACCTCTGGCAACGTGACCTCTGTTATTTACGACCTGTGATCCCCAGCATGCACGACCACACACATACCGACGAGCAGCGCGACCTCCACGTCTGCGACCTGGACAGCAAGGTCCCTACGCGTGCCAACCCCCTTTCACACGACATGCCTGCCGCCGACGACGCCGACGACGACAATGACAGCACCACTTCGAATGAGGAGTCTTGGGTGGAATATCATCGGCGGGCTACGCCTTTCCGCTGCCCGCTCCTGGCTTTACGTTGGCACCCTTGAACGAATGCGCCCCCGCAGGGACCGGGCCCCGCAACCATGGTGGTCAGCATGAGCTGTGGGACGAGGATCTCCGAACGTTCCTGAGGATAAATTCTTTCTTAGCTGAGGCCACTGCTTTGGAAAATGCCACCCTCGAGGCAGTCCGGTGGTGCAAGAGAGTGAATGAGTATCACGCAAATTAGTTGCATGCCTCTTCTTGTGCACTTGGGTCCCAGGGTAGATTCGTGGAGCTCTGTCCCTCTCGAAAATAAGAGAGGATCTCCGAACGTTCCTGCCTGCGCACCGTCCCGACGCATTACCACAAGAAACGGTAGCGGAAGACGCCACGGAGATGTTAATGACCTGGCTTGGACACTGTGCGCCGCTGACGGCCGGGACGGGTGGCACTCTCTGAAGACCGAGTTCTGCAGGATCTGAGGGCCATGGCCCCACGCGCCCCGCCCCGAGTGGGCCCTGTCTTCTGAACCGCATGGCGTCTCGCTCCTTCTCTCCTGCTACACGCCTTCGCAGCGTCGATGACAGAACGCATATGTTGAGATAAAGTGCCTTGGTGCTGTATTGTTTTCCCGACGTGTCGAGACGACACCCATTGAGCTTGTACGGCTTTTGCCAGGTGCGATGTGGCCACCCGGATCCGGTCGCTATTTGCCTGCTGCGTGGCAGAAAGGTGCTACATGCCAACACGGAATACGGAGAAGGACGAGGACGATGACGAGGTTGATGATGGTGGTGGTGGTGATGGTTTTGTTGGTGGGTGATGATGGCTCTGATGGTAATGACGAAGAATAATAAAGCAATAAAGATAGATGAACAATACGAGTCACAGCAGCATTATTAATACTAGTAATGCGACTAGAAAGAGATAATTTCAAGTCGAATGCTGCTGCTTATAATAGCCGTGCTCATATTAGTAGTGATAGTAATCGCATGCGTGCCTGTCTGTGGAATATTGACTGAAGAGGAGGAGGAAGAGGAGGAAGAGGACGAAATTAGCATCGGTTGGAAAAAAGGTGCCGCCACATTCGAATCCGCGTCAGAAAAGATCACCCGAACGAGTTTAAGGGGTCAAGGTCTTCGGGGGGCGGCGGGACCCGTCGACGGCGCTCATGCGCCCAGGGCCCGAGAAATTCAGCTTCGCCCTGAGAGTTGAGCCCAAGCAGTGCAAGGCCACGCGGAAGGTCAACCCCAGTCCCAACCCAGACAATCCCACCCCCTCCCAGAACAGAGGCCAGGGAAGCTCCTGGAGCGCGCCGGAGCGAGCGTAGGTTGGGTCGCCAGACCCATGTTGCACGGACGGTATGCACGAGCACGTTCCGAGAACGGTGGCCCGAGAAACCCCCGCCGTGATTCTTTCTCGAAGGATGGCGGCCCCGCAAGATCCAGGCCAGTTGTATTTGTCGCCCGGGATGGAGCACAACGGTCTTCGCCCCATGCCCACCCACGGCACGAACGGAGCCGCGAGTTGTGCAGAAGGCGAGGGGGGTATGGGATTTCCAGAGGCAATTCGGGCAACCTCAATGATGGCGCGTCCTCGACCAGGGCGCGCGCGTGGGTTAGCCGCGCCGCTCGGCTCCGCTTCCTGCTGGGCGTTCCTTCCAGCCCTCGCATCCAGAACCCGCGCCCCGCAACCTGGCAGGGGGGGGTTCAGAGAGAGGCGTCTAAACCAGCCGATGCCTGCATGATCGAAGTCCTATCTGTCTGAGGACGGTGTTGACAAGGGCCCAGCGGGGGAGGTGGAAATGCCGGGGCCGGGCCGGGGCCGGGCCGGGGCCGGGGCCGGACGGCCGGGCCGGGGCCGGGCGGGGGGCCGGTCGGGCTGGGGGGCCGGGGCCTTGGGCCGGGGGTCCGGGCCGGGGCCGGGCCGGGGCGGGCCGGGGCCGGGGCCGGGCCGGGGCCGGGGCCGGGGCCGGGCCTAGGGCCGGGGCGGGGCCAGGCTGGGGGGCGGGGCGGGCCCGGGCCGGGTGCAGGGCCGGGGGGCCGGGGCCGGGCTGGGGCCGGGCCGGGGCCGGGGCCGTGGCCGCGGCCGGGGCGGGGCCGGGCCGGGCCCGGGGCGGGGCCGGCCGAGGGCCGGGGCCCGGGCGGGGCAGGGCTGGGGCCGCGGCCGGGGCCGGGGCCGGGCTCGGGGCCGGGCCGGGGCCCGGGCCGGGGCGGGGGCACACCGAGGAGGGCGGGGCCGGGGCTTGGGCGCGCCCGGGCCGGGGGCCGGCGGGCCGGGGCCGGGGCCGGGGCCAGCGGGGCCGGGGCCGGGCCGGAGCCGGTCCGGGGCCAGGGCCGGGCCGCGGCTGGGCCGGGGCCAGGCCGGGTTGGCGAGAAGGGTATCGGAGGAAGCTCGGACGAAGCTCGGACGCGGCTCGGAAGAGGATCGGGAGAGGGAAATCGGAGGAATACCGGAGGAAGGGGAACGGAAGAGGATCAGAGGAGGTTCGGATGAGCAGGAGGATGAGGATTTGAGGAGGCTCGGAAGAGAACGAGCGGGGAAGGAAGATCGGAGGAAGCTCGGCAGAGGAGGAGGGGGAGGGGGAGGAGGAGGATCGGAGGAGGACGATCGGAGGATGCCCGGAGGGAGGTCAGAGGACGACGATTGGCGGAGGCTCGGATGAGGAGCAGGATGAGGAGTAGAAGGACGAGGAGGAGGAGTATGCCGATCCCCCAGGGCCGATTTTCCCGTGAAACGACCTCCAGAGGCCTGGGGGTAACGAAGAAACGCGATCGGTCCCGGGGCCCCTCGTGGGGTGAATCCATGGCAAGAGTTCACCCTGGATGGATCTCTGCCGGGGCTGGGTCCGGGATCGGGCCTGAAAGCCAGAAAAATATCCTGGCGAAGGACCCAACCATGCGCATGTGTGAGTGCAGCAATTGTGAATATCTTCTTCGGTGGAGCTCCCTGTGGGGCCACGAAACGTGTGAGGGGTGTGCCAAGTCGGGTGAGGCTGACGCATGCGGGCGGTCCTACTCGGACCTTCGGTGGAGCTCCCTGTGGGGCCACGAACCGTGTGAGGGGCGTGCCGAATTGAGTGTGGCTGACGCATGCGGGCGGTCCTACTGGGGCCTTCGGTGGCACTCCCTGTGGGGCCACGAAACGTGTGAGGGGTGTGCCGAAGTGGATGTGGCTGACGCATGCGGGCGGCCCCACTGGGCCCTTCGGTGGAGCTCCCTGCGGGGCCACGAAATGACGACGACGACGACGATGATGATGATGATGATGATGGTGGTGGTGGCGGGAGGAAGGAGGAGGAGGAGAGGAGGAGGTGGGACGCGGGGCGCTGTCTCTTCAAAACGAAGACCCAACAACACAGGTTGGTTGGGAAAAAGACTCGCCGCGTTGCGGCGACAAGGGTGGATGATAACGACGGATGGTCGATGATCGATGTTGATAACTCCGCTGCGTTGAAAAACCGAAATCGTTGCGACCGTCGCTCGGCGACGGCAACCGAGGCGCTCGCGCCGCCCGGAGGGCGCGCGTTACCGGCGTCAGGCGGCATTCTTGAACGCATCGCCCAGAAGGGACGCCGTCTGCATGAACTTCTCCTTGCCGAACTCGGAAGCCACCTCCCGGACATCATTCGCATCTTTCATCTTATTGAGGACGCGATCCGAGAGGCCCAAGC